AAGAGGGAAAAATAATTTCAGTGTTTTAAAAGTATTGATTTTATACTGAACACCTTTAGATAAGAAAATTAAGTTTGGCAATTAACATGCATAAAAACCTGAAAAAGGCATATATACTTTTATTTAGCCATTGCACAAGCAATGTATCTAAATAAAGAAAACACTGATAAACAAAAATATTTATAATGTTATTTTCATCATTATACATTTCAAAAAATGAAATCTACAAATTAATCATTGTTCAATGTAGAAATCAAAGATAGTCACATCTTCAAGTATAAAAAGCAGTCTCTACAGTGTGATTAAAAAAAATTTTAAGTATTAAATTCACATAGGACTATCACAATTCAAAATGGTGGAAATGATATCTCTATGAAACACAATTTAGAGATTCTGTTTTACTCTGTGATATTTCTAGATATTTCCAAACTTATTTTATTTTGTAGTATTGGGGAACCACTGAAAGCCTATGGAAGACTTTCTGAGATCGGTAAACAAAGCCTCTACACTAAGGTGAAGTGGGTGTGCACAGGGCAAGGCCCTGAGTAATAGCCATTGTCTTCCTCTGTGAACTGACTGGGGAAGAAAACACGCCCTCTCACGGGATACAAGGCTGGAGCTTTTCTTCACGCCCTCTGTGGTCAGGTATGATGTGGCACGTGTGTGCCAATTCTTCGCGCAGACTGTCGGGCTGCAGAACCTTCCTTCACCCGGAGTCAGCCAGCAGTGTAACTGTGCTGGGCATCTTTCATTTGCCTCCCAGATCCACTCTGGCCCCTTCTGGCTCTTTTTCTGGGCTCTGCTGTCTGGCCTAAAGTAGATCCCAGTCCTCTGACTTCTCTGGATTTGGCCAAGAGGAGAGATGGTAGGAGACCAGAGAGCAGAGGAGAAAGTCAGAGCATTTATTCCCCCAGCTCCTTCCCACAAGCAGGTCACCATGGACTGGCTGCATCCCTCCACTGAAGGCCACAGCTCCTGATGGGCAGCCCCCTTCACACCACTCAGCCTCCCTCTGACATTCTGGGTTTTCTAGCAGCTTCACCCGGCCCTGCCTCTGCAGGTGTAGGGCTGGAAACACCTCCCATGATTACGAGCCCCAGAGAGGTGCTCCGTCTTTCACTGCTTTTCCCAAACCCCATCCACACCTTTGTAAACCATCTCCAACAAACTGTCAATCAAATCATCCTCACTTGAGCCCGGACAAGACCCTGGCTGATACAGTAATAGTATACAGAATTATCCAAAGACAAAATAAGTATAGCTAAGTGCATTTATTCTCCATAAAGCAAAATGAGAGAAAAAAAAAAAAAAGTAGCCTAATAGGGTCTAGAAAATTCTTTCAAGTTTGAGGTAAAAGTTTAACCCCATGTTACCTCTATGATTTGATTATTCTATGATACCTAGATCCTTATTATTTCCATTTTTTTTTTTAAGACGTTGGGCTTGTTACAAACCCTTAAGTAACCTCACCACAGATAGGACAGCCTGTTAGAGGATGAACAGAAGAGATCCCTGGGTATCTATCTATGATAAGACAAACTGCTTTTGCAGCATTAAACTTAAAGGTAGACATTGACTTTTTCTTTTAGGTTCCCCTTGTATAGTTTCACACTTTTCACTTGGTTGTGATTGAGCTTGACTTAGCCCTGGGCTTCACAAGGTAACCAAGTTTATTCCACCCAGATGTTTCTGGTCTGCAGCGCAGGAAAGCGGCAGGGACTCAAGGTGACGTGATGAGCCCACTGAAAAATTCTTCCTAAAAAAAGCCAGACTATCCCACAAGCTTGTTGCGAGAGCAAACTCCTGTACCCAGGAGGAGGAGGAAAGACAATTCTGAGGACCCGAGGACAGTCACTCAGATGGTCCCCGGTCCATTCCAAGGAATGGTGGGGGGCGGGGTTGGGGGGGAGGGGAGAGAGAATGCTCTTTTCACTCATAATAGCTGTGAGGCATCCCAAGCACAAAGCAGAATTGCATTGCTAATAATGTATGAAAGGACAGTACAGGGCTTGGGGGAAAGTGATTCTTTTTTGAGCAGAGCAATTCAAACACCGTGTGAATGAACGCGGGGGACCCTCCCTGGTAGAGGTCAACTCCAGCAACCGCGCGAGTCCCTTGAGTGACAGCTCTGGTGAGCGCTAGTGCCCCTCTCAGCTGGCACATCACCGGGGCTCTGAGAGCTCAGAGACGGGCAGCGGAAGGGCCCTTGATGGTGGATGCAGCGTCATCAGAATGGCATCAGAGGCTCCAGTGGGAGCCAAGAGCTCTAGCTGCCAAGGGGGTGAGTGAGCTTGTTGCAGTGTCAGCAGCTGTAGATGACGCTGATGGCTTTGGCAGTGGCGGAAGAGCGCATCCTTGACAGTTGGCACCAGCAACAGTGGTCAGCTTCCCTCACATGGCCACGAGGGCTCCAGAAGCCAGAGTTTAAAGGGACAGCTTCCCTTAGATCAGCTCTTTCTTTTTATCCTTGAACAAAAGTGATCTGACCATATCAGATGACCGCCTAAGCCCTCAGAAAGACATCACTGAACGACAAACTCTGAACAGAGGGAAACACAAGCAGTGGCACATCCAAAGTAGCCAAGGGCAGCAAGCACAAGGACAGTGAGAGATGCATGATGAAAAAAACCACCTCTGGGCCAGCCCTGCCGAGGACTGGGCTCTGATGTTGACAGCGCAGAACTCTTACATCTGTGTGCATAATCACCCAGTTGTGTCTGACTCTTCGTGACCCCGTCAACTGCAGCCCACCAGGCTCCTTTGTTCATGGGATTCTCCAGACAAGAATACTGGAGAGGATAGCCATATCTTCCTAACCCAGGGATGGAACCCAAGTCTCCTGCATTGCAGACAGATTATTTATCATCTGAGTCAATAGCATACTTGAAATATGAATGCTAGACTCCTTCTATCCCATTTCACTAACTTAATGAATTATATATGCCAAGGAAAATTAAAAGCACTTTGCACACCCTGAAATATTTTGGATCTAATTTTTCTATCTCTGTGCTCCCTACTTCCCTAAGGGCAGGGAAACCAATGGAAATACCACAAAATGTATTAAGTTATAAACTACATGCATATAAGACTCCAGATTTCTCAACAACAGAACTTAAAATCGCAAGGAAAATGTTAACTTCCTCAAGATTAGCAATAAATGATAAGGCAACCATATGCTGGTATTGAGTCATGCATGGAGTAAAAAGAAGTTTCCTGCAGGCATAGGGTAGCTGCTTTAACACTCCGTAAAGTATTATCAGCAGAGTAATTACTGCTACAAGGTTCACAGGCAAATAAGCACCAGACCTGGGAGCACAGAAAGTGAGCCACAGGACTGCCACTCGTGGGAACCAGCTGGGGACCTAGATGCCTTCTCCAGACAACAGGCAGTCTTCTCTCTGTGGCAAGCTGTCCTTGTGCCATCAGAATGCACCCAAGAGGACTGTTACTATTCATTGACTCCCCACTCCTTTTCCCTCATCTAATCCCAGACCTTAGATAGCTCTGAGAACACACATCTCATGACCAAAAAAAAAAAAAAAAAAAAGACAGAGAGAGCTTGGAAAGCTACTGACTTCGGGTATAATAACATAGCAAGGTAATGACAGAACTCCTCTGAGCTTCTAGGAACAAAAGAGGAGAGAAAGCAAAGACTCGGGAATCTCTACAGAGTATAAATGCCCCCAAATATGATTTGACATAAGACTGAAAAGTCATTTCGGACATTTCTTTCTCTACTCAGCAAATGCTCATTATCACAAGGAAGACTGCCACCCCATTATATACTAGGAATAAGAACTCATAGGATTCTGGTTTTTCACTGAAGAGAATCAGGACTTCTGATTGTTCAAACTGTGCCAGAAAAGACAACTTGGTAGGTGGTCAGTATTGCAGTCATAAGCATTCTGATTTTTGGAAAAATCAAATGTAGGCAAGAAGAATGAAATAGTTATATACATTTTCATCAAGGCTATGATAGCGTTCACTCTGTAAGTCAAGCAGGTCAGAAAAGAATGTCATCAAGTAGTTGTCTCGGGGGTAGTCAGAAGTTTGCAACCGTGTAAGCGGAGGCGAGAACTGAGATCCATTTGTGCTATCACTCACTGACTGTAATCTTATCATCTTTCCAAAAACCTGTGGATTACTAAACTATCCAAACTTTGATCTACTTATGTCAACCAATCAACCAATAAGAACTGAAAGAAGTACTTCTTTTGTATAGCCACACAGACTGGTAATATATACAGATACTTAAGACAATCAGCAAAATGTAAGCCTATGAAGAAATCTTCAAATACCAGAAAGAAGACAAAGAGGTTTCCTCAGAGATACATAAAAACACACATATATACAATTAAGACATAACCTCCTCCCATTCTTTTTTCTTTTTTAATTTCATGTGAACCCTTCACTTAAAAAGTAAAAATATCTAGATTTCCATTCTATTTAAATACATTCAAGCAAAGCTCTGGGGAAGGTTTCCAGGGAGTTGGATTGCTTCGAAATTGGCCATGCACTAAATAAAGCTTTGTCTAACGAAAGTGAAAGAGTAACTGATGGTATCTGTACATTCACTCTGCACAAGGTTACTGTGACTCAAAAGCATTACTCGAAGACAAAGAACAAATCGGATTCCAGCTCTGGAGACTCACACTCTGCCTCTGCCAGCAGCCCTGCCGGCTCACACACTCTCTTAGGGCCAACCACCTGCTTCCTGAAGAATCTGTAATCTACCTTCTCCATTAGTTCCCCCAAGGTTCTCCTTCTTTACACAAGTGCCCCCCTTCATTCATTTCACTGCATTCACCTTTCATCTCTAAGAGATTCATTCCTGATAAGTGTGCCAGGGTTCACTGTAACATCAAAACCAAAAAGAAAAGCCTTCAGCATTGCATTTTATAGTGAAACAAAAACTCCAATTCTCAGAGTCTACTGAGCTAGAACTAAAAGCTAATGCAGCAAGGGATTCATTCCTGAGACCTGGCTTCTTTTCACATTACCTGCTTCAGTGTACTTCAATCCCACTTTTTCTTCGGTGTCCTTTGTCTTCGGTGGTGGCCAGACAGCCTGGAGTCTGCCAGGAATCCTATCATCCTGCTCAGTGGGACTGTGGTCAGGCTGTGGGAAAAATGGGCAGAGAAAAGTTTAAGTTCAATAAAATGTGACCAGAGTCAACTAAACCTTGAGAATGCACTCACTCCAAAATTAATTCTAATCGCCAGTTGCATATTGCTTTCACTCGCTGCAACTGAAACAACTCACTACAATACAATCCTTTTCCAGAAACGTAAAGCGATCAGCTGGAGTGGGAAAACGAAAGGACTTAAGGCCAAGTATTACACGACTTCAATAAATGACTTTTAGCATGTAACTCCTTAAAAAAGAAAAACATTAATACACTTTGAGCTGAAGATACAAATGTACTATAATTTGGTACATTTATAGGTATGTTTACAAATATACCCCAAACAACTCCAGGGTTAAAGAGATAAACCAGTTTTGCACTTTCCATGAACATTAGTTCTTGGTCAAGATAACACTTTAAGACATTCACATTGATTAATTCTTTTTTTTTTCTTTCTTTCCCACAAAAAAAAAAAAAAAAGAATGAGCTTGTTTTCACATTCAAGCTATTTTTACAGGGGTTGATTTTACAACCAAGAGAATGCTATGTTGTATTTAGTTTTTAACTGCACCCAAGATAATTTTTCTAAAGACCTTAAAGTTAACATTTTAACTAATCAAATGTATGAGGGAATGATAATTATATGCAGGTTGAAACTAAGCAAAAAATTCTACTCACTGCGCTTATGAACTTTTAAGATCCACTGAACAAGTGCTTGCTAGTCCTTACAAATTTCCTGAATACTTTTTTAAACAATTGTCACAGTTTTCACTAATCAGGGTGGTTACTATGTACTAACTTCATTTATTCTTCACAACTACCATATAAAATAAAGGCTATTTTCATCATTTTGTTGATGAAGATTGAGGCTCAGAGATCAAGGTCACCCAACCAGTAATTGGTGGAGTTAGAATTATAACCCAGGTCTCATTCTAAACCCAGTCCTCAATCAGGATGCCTTGTAACCAACACAGAACAGTTTAATCACATCACAAACATGTATTTGGCCAAGTGACCAATTTTCAAAGGAAAAATACAGTTTTCACAGAGGTATAATTAAGTGGGAAGGAAGTCTGGGCTACATTTCCATATTGCATTGATTCTGATGCTGCCTGGTTTTTAGAAGCACATTTACTATTAATGTTTAAACTCAGAGTAACAGTTTCCCTTTCTGATCTGCACATCTTTACTTAACACCTTTCTTACAACAACCCAGAGAAATATAAGAAAGAAAGAAAATGCTCCAACTCCAAAATGCTGTCCAACTCCAAACTCCTTACAAGGACCACTTGATAATATCATCTTTCACCTAGAAGAGGGTCACTAAGAGTAGGTAACTAAGATTCTCTTTGACAGGAAACCCGAAAAGAAACATGGCCACATCACACTTTAGGACAAATCACACAACCCAACTGCTACGTACGCTTTTGGAATCTGAGGGGCCCTCCGCAGGCCTTGACCTTGACCGCTCAAACACAGCTCTCAGGGACTCCTTCTCATGCCTCATCTTGCGCTTGAGAGCTTCCAGCTCAGAGGTGTCAGCCGTGGACCCCTTTTTGGGGGGACGGATGAATAAGGCTTTAAAGGCCTCCAAGGCAGTCTCTGGTGGCTTTGGCTTGACCTCTCCTCCCTGGCTTTGGGCTTCTCCAGGGTCGCTCTGGCTCTCCTGAGGTGCACCACAGCCCATCTCGTCCCCCTTGGGCTGTTCAGGGTCTTCCGCCTTCGGTTCGGCTTTGGGGACGTCAATGAAGAGCAGCTGAGAGAGCTGCTCCAGGAGCGTGGGAGTGGCCTTTGGATAGTTTGTTTTCTCTCCCTTCTTCACTGTCGGAGGCCCTGCCTGTGCCAGGGACCGCTGGACTGGTTGGGTCAACTTGAGCAAAGCCAGATCCCCATCCTTTGGTTTAATTTCAGTGATGGTCTCCCCGCCCTCGGCTGTGGCTCCCTTCTTCAGCACACGAAGCCCACTGAAAAAAGCTGGAAGCTGGAATGACTTCTCCCCAGGGCCTTCTTTTTTGGAAGAGGTGTTCTCGGGGACGCCAACACTTGCGTCCTGGTCTGCTGCCGCAGGTGGAGCTGTGGAAGCTTCTTCTCCAGCTTCTCGCTCGCAGGGGCTGTGCTCTGTCTGAAGGCCACCTTTGTCGGGTTCCAACTTGCAGCTTATCATCTGCAGAGTTCTTTGAGGGCCTTCTCCACTGAGCTCTGCATCACCCCTGTCACTAAGGGCAGTATTTTCCCTTCCATCTCCTGGCTTTTCTTGGGGTTCCTCAGATGGCTCAGATAAAACACCACCAGGGGATCTGGGGCTGTTGGTCTTGCTTCCCTCTTCTGGTTCCTGGCCTCCGTCATCAGAGTCAGAATCACTGGTGGTATTCACCAGGGTCCCTCGAACCAAAATGACATTGTCTTGGTTCACATTCAAAGCAGCGAGTGGAAGCAGCTCTTGTCCAGGGAGAGAAATCCCGGCCTCTTCTCCCCTAGGACTTCCCTCCAGCTCCATCTGCATCTCCACCTTTGTCTTCCCATCATTTCCACGGTCAGGTGGAACCTGAGCCTCTGCCTCCTGCAGATCCGATCCACTGCTGGACTCCACCACTAAATTACGGAAGGCTTTCAGCACCGCGTCTTCCTCTTCGGGTTTCACAGATTCCAATTTACTCGTGAACCCAAAGAGGGATTTCATAGAGAACTTGGTCAGGATCGACAGCGCCGGGTCAAGTCCGGCTTCAGGCTGTTCTGGTTTCGAGCCATCAGTGCCACTGAGAACGTTTCCAACTTCCTCCATGTCCCAGCAGTGCCCTGGGTGGCAGTTCTCACTTCTGCTACCTTCCCCTGCTCTCTCAGCTTCTGCACTCCATCGGCTCTTAACTTCCAGAACGGAGAGCCACAGGGCCGGCCGGTGGACCCGGCCGCAGCGCGATCACACTCGGCCCGGCCCTGGTCCCTCCCGAGCCCTCCTTCCGGTTTGCGCGGGGATGGGGCGCCCGGGGCAACTGTAAAAAGTCCGCGGGGCTCTATGCCCAGAAGCGGCCGAGGCTGCGCACCTTACTACACACGGGCTGGGAGGCTGCTCCTCTGGGACTTCCGTATTTATTCCCGGGGACAAAAGGCTTTTTGTCATAGGGAAAATCAGCCTGCCCCCACTCATCCCAGCCCAGGGTTTGCCACGAGCCCCGCCCCAGTGCCGGCGGTCCGCCGGGTGGCTTTCAACTTCCTCATTGGTGAGCAAGGGAGGCTCCAGAGAGTGCTGAGCGGGCAAGCTGATCCCGAAGCCTTCAACCACCCCGCAGAGGAGCCCAGGAAGTTCAAAAGTGAATCAGCAGAAAATGACTGAAATGCTTCTTGCGGGCTCTTTTGGCATCTAAATCACGGTCAGAAGCCTGTGCCATCCAAGCAAAAAAAAAAAACAAAAAACAAAAAACAAAAGCTAGCAGTGCGCACAGACCGACAGCCACTTAGAAAGCCCAAAGACAAGAAATATTTAAAAGGAAAGAAAGAAATTGATCATCTCAAAGTGCCAAGGACTCTCAAAAGCAGTTAATTTACTACCCTTGAAGCTTTTTCTTTCCTTTTTTCTTTTTTTAAGTGCTTTCTTCCGCTTCCCTGCCGGTTTCATCTGGAATGCAGATTTCAGCTTCCAGCGAAGAAAAACCAACAGGACTGGTTTAGATTACTGCTGTTTTAGCTCTGCCCTGCCGTCACAGTGCTCTACAAACAGGTACTTAGGCAAGCACGCCCACCACGCCCACTGTCCACCAGCCTCAGGTGGTAGAGCAAACAGCCCCAGTCAGGAAGGAATGATAACCCTCCACTCTCCTGGGCTGACCTTGGGCTTCTGTTCAGCAGCTCTGACTTCCTAGCTTTCTTAGGAATCCTGCTGGCCAGAGGTCACCCCTCTGTGCTCCAGCCATCCAACCGACAAATTGAAACCTAGCATGGTACAAAGTTACACACAACCTGCCTTGTTAGGCAAAGCAATTCATTCAAAAGTCCCCAAGGAGCCACATTCCCCTAAAGGGAAAAACATCTGAAAGGTCTCTATCAGGGCTCCGTCACAGACCCATTTGCCTAAAACAAAAACAGGAAAGACAAAACCACCACCAAACATCAGCTCGGTGTAGTTTCCAGTGCTGTACAAGCTGGGAACCTGGCAATGAAGGACATGGAAAAATTGCAGCTCTGTTTCCTAGCAGCATACCTGCCTCTTGGGGCAGCTTCCTGTTGTACCTGAAGATCTCTCAGTGTTTACCAGATCCTATTGAGTCAGCAGGCATTTAGTAAGCACCTGGAATGGATAAGGCACTATGCTGGATCAAGAGAGCCAAACTGGCTTAATAGTTATCATGGTTTAATAGTAATCACCGGCTCTCTGAACAAAGCTTCGAGAAGATTGAGCCCAAGCGTTAAATGCAAACAAATTTATTCTGCAAAACAGAAGCTATAGCCATAAGCAAAACAGCTGTCTTGCTTTACCTGCAGCAGGGAATGGCTGCGGCTTGCACACTGCTAACTTAAATTGTGTCCTCCACTGAGAAATTCTGATCACAATAATAAATTTCCAGTGTGATGTGTTCAAAATAAACCTTCACACAAAAAGGGTACGTATGATTATAGCCCATCAACTCTTATAGGAAAATTAAAACAGTATTTCCTCATCCCTGATTTGACCTTGCGTCTAAATGGATACTTTCCTGGTTGCTCCTGATCCCAGTATATTTTGAGATTATTAAATAGGGCATGGTTAATCAAAAGGCCACCACAACACTCAGGAAAATTCATTCATGCCGTCTAAGCCTCATAACAAGCTTCCTATCTAAAGGAAATGCCTGTTGATAAAATCATACTTCTGCTTCTTCAGGACAGAAAAAGGAATCATTACATCAGATCATAAGATCAGTCTTCTGAAGAACCATGAAGACCAGTCAACATACCAGTGAGGGGAAGAGACATGGCACATATTTGTTCTTTAACTGAGAAAGCTCCATTTTCTCAGACA